TTGTCTTATCTATTTAATGCCTTCAATGTTGCATTGTTGCCTGGCTGTGCTGGCCCATGTTGCAAAAAGCAGGCAATAAATGGCTATAAAAACACTGACAGTGATTTCTCATGGGAGTCATTTTAATTTTAATCAGATACTCTGCAGTTCTGACTAAACTAATCACCCACAACACACAGTATAATTTTAAAATATCACAAAACAAGTTGTATGGTATGCTACTATATATCTACGCTGGTTTGGAAATTGCACTAAGTGTTAGTTTTATCTCTCTTCTTTAATCATTTCATCCTAAGCAAAGTGATATTGTCACTAAGATGCAAGGGGTTACTGGGAGTGAAAGAGAATGAGAAGACAGGAACAGGAAACAATGGATAAAACTCTCTACTCCTGTTCAAAAGACTGGTTAGGAGGGTGAATCAAGTGATAGGCAAAGCTCTCTACTCCTGTTCAAAAGACTGGTTAGGAGGGTGAATCAAGTGATAGGCAAAGCTCTCTACTCCTGTTATTAGTTAGTTTAAAACACAAAAGATAAGGACCAATATTTCAATATTATGAAAATATAAATGCATTCACAGCAGGCATTATAATTTGTATAAAGGCACATAAGTACATTTTGAACAGACATATATGCATTACCAGCAGGTAACAGGAGCTTCATAAAGATGCATAAGTACACCCCCAGCAGCAGAAGTGTTAAATACATAAGGAGATATGTAGTGGTGCTGTGGCGGTTACCACTTGTTGAGGGTTCATGGCGTGGCTGTTATGTTGTTGATAGAAGTCAGACGTAGACGAAATGCAAGTAAGGTTCAGATACTCCTGCCCACCGAGCCCAGCTACATAAAAAGGTTGGACTTTGATTAAGTCCAAAGAAGAAGGCAAAGAAAGCAAAAAAAACACAAGACCGATAATATATGTATATACAAATATATATTAATAACAAGTTACAATACATGGAAACAGTACAAAGGACGAAGTGTGTGTGAATATTCTGTATGTGCGTGCGTGTGTGAATATTGTGCTTAGCGTGTTTCCACGCTATCCCTTGTTAGCGCCTACATTTCGAGGTTGATAGCTGAAATCCTGAAGGAAAAAGAGATAGAGGCCAAGGGTCAGCAGCTATTTATAGCCAGGGAAGAGAGACCCTTGGTGAAAGGGTTAACGGAGTGAAGGAGGAGTTAACTCCGACAGATATAATACTAAAACAGTTCCATTATATTATTCATTAATATCATAATCTTTGCTCTAGCTAAGGTTAGATGTTATAGCTTTGAGGTCTTATTTGAGCCTCACTGGGTGTCTTTCTATTGTGACCCTGAGCTAGACTAAATTATGCTTAGTGGGTACTTATTAATGTAGTGAACTTGATCCTCATTGGGTGCCCTCAATTTTAACACTGTGCCAGATTAAGCTAAGTATGGATTTTATTTACTTCCCCATAGTGACATATTTGATACTAAGTCAGATGTCTATCTGGATAAATGCAAAAATTATTCATTTGCTTGTCTTGCTTTTGGTATGTTGCAAGCATCAGGGAATAATCCCGACTTTATCACTTTTAATGCAATGGTACAGCCTGGGACAATGGCTCCACTGGAATTAAACATTATACTTCTTATTAATTATTTGACACCAATGTCAACTTAGTGATACACATACACATACACACACACACACACAAACACACATAATTTTAGAGAAAGATGAGCAGACTCTAAAAGGAGTCTGCCCAAAATTTGCTTACTGTCAAAAAAGTGCCTGATGCCATAAGAAATGGCAGAGCTTTAATATATTAAAGCAGAAATTCTGGTAGGCAGTAACTGACTACAACTGTTACTTTCATGTGTTTATCATGCAATCATCAGGTAGTCTGTGGCTGTAGTTTGTAGAATAGGTACTCTGTATACCACCAGGCAAGTTCAAGATGGCGTACCAACCAAACCTACCAGGGGGAAGTTAAACCATCTGGCCAAGATCAAAAATAACTGAAAACTAAAATATAAATAAATTCTACTAGAAAAGGCTTTTCAAATATATTTATTATTATTACTCATATTTATATATTTATATGTGTGTGCGCGTGTGTGTGTGAGTGTTCTTATGTAAAATATATATACATTAGGCATATGTGCGAAAGTTTGCAGCATCAAAAGAAATAATTTTCAAATGTGTGTTCACTCTCTAGTTTTCAATGCTGGGCATCTTTTATACGTGTGGGGGTCACTCACATCATACCAGCAGAAATAACCCCATAAAATAAAAACATACACAGAAATAACATTAAAAAGTATGTTAAATTGTAAATTAAACTCATACAATTTATGTATTTTAGTTACAAGTGTTTTAAGGTTGCATTTGATAAAAGGAAAAAGTCACTTCGTATTATAACAAGCAATGTCCCGAGGAGAAGAGATGGATGTCTTGACTTTCTAATGGTTGGTGGCAAAGAAAGTGAATTCAGCGTCTTTTGACACAAAGTCCATTTTCTGACAGGAAATGTTTCTGTCACATTCTGTGAGGACTTTTATTTTTACTTTTGATTTGATTTAATTTATTTTAAACAAAGGTTTAATGTTATTTGTTTTATTTTATTTTATTTATGATATTGATTATTATTATTATTTTTATTTTTAATAATAATAATAATGTTTTTACATACATACTTAATAATCATACATACACACTTTGAGAAACACACATAAAATGAACAAAATCAATATACCCAGTTTGAGTTATCACATATCATTTACTTAGTGATTTTAAATACAGGCGAGTAAGACAGAGAAAGAAAAATTTAAATCTCATCAATTCTCAAATTACTGAAAAATCTAGTTTTCTGCAAAAAGAAAACAACATTAAAAAAGGAATATGCAATTAGTTTTTTTATTTGTCACATAGTGTGGATTTGGGACTGCTTTTTTCTGAGAGAAATGCAAGTATGGCTTTTATAGAAAAAATCTCTCTCTTTTCTCTCTCTCTCTTTTATATATATATATTTATATATATATATATATATATATATATATCATGACTAGCTAGCTATTACATAGTTATTTCATGTATTTGTGGATTTCTTTTATATATTTAATTACACTGTACTAAAAAAATGCTATGAAAGATTTTTTAACCATTCATAATTCTCTAAAAGTACTAAAAGACCACAAAAAAAATGGATTTTTCTATTTTTTTTTTTTTTTTTGTTTCTGTAAAAATTAGTAAGGGATTTTTCTTAAAGAAATATAAATATATTTGTTATTAGCTTTAATTAAGCATGTCCACTGTTTTCGCGGAAAAACAATAGCGTAAATGAAAAATGCCAAACTTAAAAAAGAAAATAAAATATTATCGTCAAAATGCTTATGTTATTATTTAGATGAAAGAAAAAGTTTTTTAATTATTTTTTGAATTTTTAATATTTTCTAACACGTTCGAAATTTTGGTTAAAATCGTCTTTGTTTACGTCATCGCGGCGACGTTTAAAATAACATAGTTTTTTTTTGCGTTTTTTACCGTTGAAAACATATTGATTTGGAAATTCTTGTAAAAATAAAATAATTGTCCAATCTTAATGAAATTTTCAGGACTTATTCACAAATGAATGAAATTATTTTTGAAATATTTTTTTTAGAAAATTTTGGTAAAATTATATTTTTTTAAATATGTTACCCCACATTTACTTAATTTAATGAAATTTCGCCCAAAACCTTTTTGGTTCCTTTTTTTTTTTGTTAAAAGTAGGAGTCTTCGAAGATGGTAAATAATCTACTTTTCTTTTCACAAATTTGAGCTATTTAACTGAAAATCTGCTCTGAATTGAAAATAATGAATCAATAAAACTATGATATTACTTAATTAGAAAAAGCTTTTAATTGCTTTTGTAAATAAGTAATATTAAGACATTATTGTCTGAAGAAATAATTTTTTCTGATGAATAATTAATTTTACAAGATTTTTTCCTTTTATTTTAATTATAATAATTTATAATAGTTTTAAATCGTGTAAAGCTCTGTATTAGGAGGGTTCCTCGATATTATGTACTAATTAAGTAGAAAAAATTTACGAATCCAAAATTGCTAAGTTTAATAAATTTAGTTGCTACTTTTTTTAAAAATAATTTTTTATGTTGTATTTTTTTTACTTAATACATTTCCTTAAATGATATACAAAATTGCCATTATTATAACAAGGTCACGTGATCTAAGGGTTTTTCCCTTTCAAAACATTTCGTTTATTAACAGATTGTATTTTCCGATCAGCTTAAAAGTAAACTTTAAATTTTAAATTATTTTTTCTTTTTTTTTCATTTACTATTTCACTAAAATAATTTTATTTTATGTATTGTATTTCCATTTTTTACTCAAATAGAATTTTTTTTTTAAAACTCAGACTTAAAATTATGTCATTTATGGTCATCAGTAGTAGCTGTCATCGGCTCGTCAATCAATCATTATCAGTAAGATCGAACAAAACAGGACCGCTCGTTAATAATTGGTTGTATATTATTTTTTTTATGCTATAAAAACAAAGATTTCTTTGAAATTTTACTTTAACTTTAAATTTTTAATTTTACTAAAATAACGTGTCAGAATTTTTTTAAATTTTTAAAAATCGATAAATTTGTGTTTGTTTACAAATTTCTTAAAATTAAGAAAATGGCCGTTTTTAAAAAATTTAAAATTTGAAATTAAATCTGACAATCAAACGTATATAGTTTCTATCTGAAATAAAATTGTTTAATTAATAGAAATCGTACATTTAATTATTAAACTTTCGATTAAAGCTAAAATGAAATTTCAAATGTTTTTTCGTTGTAAAAAATTCATTTAAACTTCGATATAGAAAATTTATGCCGAAATAAAACTTAGCTTTTTAAATTCACTATACAAATGATTAAAATATTTACTCCGGACTAAAAACTTTTTACACAAAGTGTACGTTTCTTGGTTTGGATGTTCACCGTTCACGTTTGTGGCCTTCCCTCCCTAATTTAAATTTAGTTGCTTCGCAGTTGTCCCCTCCTTTTCCTTTTCTCTTTAACTTTCCTAATGGAGTCTCGTCACAAAAACCTTGCGCAAAAATTGTTTGACGTTGGATGTGTGAAATTTGGATGTTTCACACTAAAATCCGGAATACAAGCCCCCATTTACTTTGACTTAAGAGTCATTGTTTCGTTTCCCCAAATTTTGGTGAGTTTTCTCAGTTGTAAATTCTATCGATAATAAAGAATTTTTACTTACATGAAAAATACACTTCTTAATTTAATTATCACATTAAAAAAGAATATTTCTAAAGAAAACTTTAACTTATTGTATATTTTATTAAATCAAATTTACATCGATTCTATTTCTGAAAGTATTGTGTTCAAAATAATTGCGAATGAACAATATAAATTGATTTAAATATCACTTGTCATAATTTTGTAACTTTTGAGTACATGAATTTTACCTGAGCGGTGTATTGTTTTGTACCCAGCTACGATTTAAAAAAAAATATCTCTTGTCATTTAGCTTATATGCCAATTTGTTTTGCTATTTTGTATGAAATACCTTTCGAGTTAAAAAAGAAAATGTATGTTTGTTACAAAACGGAAGCGACTGTGATGTTGTTTTCGCTATTACCTGCTAAAACACGTGGTGTCTTAAAATTACAATCGTATTTTCTTCCGTTACTTGATCAGTAGTTTAAATAAAATTTTTGTACAATCGTGTTTTATCATCTGAGACAAGTAAATTATTCTATTAGTTTTTTTTAAACTTTCTTCTTTGTGTATGACCACACCGACTTTTTTTTTCTTTTTCGATAGGCACATTACGTGCTTTTTTCAGTTAATTAAATAACAAAGAGAAACCCATCTCTGAGATGGGCAAAAATGTATATTTTTTATTTTCATTATTGTAATGACTAAAACTAAAACCATAGCCACGTTTCATCGGAAAAAAAGGTGGAGTCCTCTTGGACCGTTTAAAAAGAATCCAGCTGCAAATGTAATTCTATTTCGAGCTTGAATTCCTTATTTTTAAAGTTAAACTAAACTGATTTAGTTTCCTCAGAAATATAAGTTTGAAATTTGAATCATCTGGAAGAATCGCTATTCATTTTCCAAATTTGTAAATACGCTAAGACGGTCAAAATTTGAAATACACGTTAATTGGGTGTGGGGTGCTTTTTACCCTAGGGCCTAAGTTATCTAAACGAGAGAATATGTTCAAAGTGAATTACCACATGTTTTTTTTTTTTTTAACTTATATTCATTGCTAAAAAAAATACGTGCCAGCAAGATATTTCTTTTATTTTTCATTGCACAATCGGTGTAAAATATTTATTTCCCTTTTTAAAACATTTTTAATCGATAAAAAATAAAAATAATGACTTTTAAAAACAGTTTATCTAAAACAAGAAATATTAAGCCGTTTTTTAAAGCTGTAATAGTTTGATGGTGACATAATTTGAATTCTAACAACTTTTGGAATGTTACAAACTTGACACAAAAAATGTTTCAATTTTGCTTTTGTTCGGACTCTTTGTAAATCTCATGTCTGTCAATTTTGAAAGTTACTTGTACTTATTGAATTTTTTTCTTTTAATGTTACAAATGGCAATGCTGTCAAAATTTATGGTTCAATTGCAAAATTAAATTAATCAAAATGATTACTATTATAAATAAACAATGGCTTCACTACCAATTCTAGAGGAATAAAAAAATTTGACTAAATGGAACAAGCCTAAATAGTCATGCAATTTCATCAAAATGTTTTGACAAATACACCTCAAGCCTCCTTGAGCAATCACCATAAACTATTGTTACTACTTTATCTACTATTAATTGTAATTAGGTTGAATATAATTACTTAGTGAAGGTGAATCTAGCACAATCATAGGTGAGGTTATCTTATTTAAATTATTAGTTGTTAAATGTTACTCTTCTGTTTGGATTTTACCCCATTAATAATTATGAACACTATGTTTTAATTCCCTTTAGTTGTTTTATTCTAGTCATCTTCCTTCAGGACTGTGCTTGGTAATTGATAGTCATGCCCACACACACACACATTCTGAATGGACTTTTTTTTTAATAAATAGATAAGATCAAAGGCTGATTATACTTAAAATCTAACAGCTACTCCTACTCACAGTGGGATGGCTGAAATGACTTAATATAAATTGACTCTAGAACCATAAGGGGAAAATCAGTGTGACATTTCCTCAGTACTGAGATTATCTAGGTTATAGCACCTAGCACATTGATAGTATTTTAAATAAATGCTCGGTTATCCCCAACCCAGATGAACTAAACCTATGCCAATTGTCCATATTGACTGGTATTTGCTAAGAAATCTTTGCTTCCAATCTCTGACCTGTTCTACCTATGTGGTCAACATCACACTGAAATTTAGAATACTATTTCAGAACTAATATGGAAAGGAGGTAGAACATCCTTTCAGACTGATCTTAACATTAGTCAGACACTAAAGATAATGCATGGATCGGCAGCCATATATAGTACCAGGTTTTGATAGGTAAATTTCTGCTGGTGTGAAAAGCTATTACATGTTTGCACATTGCTAGCTGTTTAATAAATGCTCAGCTATCACTGACCCAAATAAATTAACACAGCTATGTAAATTGTCCAAAATGTCTTAATATTGGCTGGTTGTTAATAGTATAGGCTGTTTGATATGTGTAAATTATCATTTTGTCTATAATGCAAAGGTGCTTCCCATTTAAGTGAAAACACAACAATCAAGAGTGTTATCTTTATTGAAAAACTGTAAAAATAATTTCAAGAAACTCTAGCTCTAAATAATGTATTAACAGGGCTGGTGCATACTATCCTCAACTAGGGTAGGTGTGGGTTCAAGCATGATTGGGGGCTCTGGACAGTACTTTGTAACCCTCACAATCTTTACATTTGCTTTTTTTTCTACCTACATTAATATATGTTGCAAATTAAACTAAGAACAACTGACTATTAAAGGATGAAAATATTTTCAGATTTTGATGTCATTCTGTTTTTGTTTTTGTCCAAATCCATGAATTTGTTTTACTGATACTAAATCTCAAAAAAACACGTAAAATTACTATTTTTTAACTATAATGTTGCATGTGTTAAAATTTAACTTTTTAACAAGAAAAATCTAAAGTTGATGTTAAAAATTGTCACATAACATTGTCAATTTAAGATGGAATGATCTATTATGACTAATTTTTATTTAGATACATTGTATTTTCAATTTTTATAGTTGAATTGTTCACCTATATTGCATATGATCCATTATTGTAGATAATTAGGTTACAAAAGTTGTATTTTATATTATGAAAATGGAGAGGTGGTTGGAGTAGGGGGGGAATCAACCCTGTGTATCAAGATCTTTTTTTTTATTCTGTAATCTGTTCTTTTAAAAAAAAAACACAATTTTAATACAATAAAATCCTGTTTGGGAATGGAGAGAAAAATTAAAGAAGTGTAGGACTAATATCAGAGGAAAGGTGTTCTGGGATGCTGGCAACTGTCAGTTCTTCCAGTGAAATTGAAAACCATTTAATATAGCCATCATCTGCACCAATGTCACAAAACACAGAAGAAGAAATAGATAAATTTTACAATACACTATATAATGTGAAAAACCAATGTAAATTGCAGGATTATATATATATATATATATATATATATATATATATATATATATATAAATTATCCTCATGTGGGATCTAAATGCAAAAGTAAGACAGGAAAAAGACAACATGATAGTTAGCAAGTAGAGATTCCCAGCAAATGACTAAGTAATAACCAATGCCGGGTCTGAAGAACATCCGAAACACTTGTGAACAAGGAAAAGCCAATAAAGAATGAGTAGCAATTCCTAAAAGATTTAGAAATACTGTTCTACATTCTAAAGCAAGTGCTGAGTGTGGGAGTGATTACCTCCCAGTTATATGCAAAGTAAGATTAAATTAGTGGAAATTAAAGAAACCAAAAGTAATTCCAAAACTACAATCAAACTCCATAATGACTCAATTTGTAGACATTCATATGCTGATGTAGTTATGGACAAATATAAAAGTCTAGAAGAGGTTGGTAATTCAAGTTGAAACATTTTAAGAGAACCATTAACAACATCGGGAAAAGAGAAAGAAAAATGTTGATGATGGGGGAAATTCTTAAACTAATGGGTGGGGGCTGCAGATAAAAGCCAAGAAATAGCAGAAAATATACAGGATGTTCTAAAAGTCATGTGACAATTGTCAGAAAACATACACTTGTGAAATGGCAACCAGAGGAAATTTGCATGACTTCATTTTCCATAATTCGACCAATAAAATTTCTTAATAATATACTGTCAAATGCAGGAAGATGGTTCCATTTGGTAAATGAATATAAAATTTACAAGGTTTTTCAAGGGTAATGCAACTTTTGGAACACCCTGTAGTATGCTAGACATTAGCAATAGATGCAGACAAGTGAAAAATGAATAGTTCAACAAGAAATGTGCAGAGAAACACTACAAAATATAGGCATAATAGCCATATTTAGATACATATCGAAATACATGTTCTCTATCATAAAATAGGCTTTGTTCCTAGTAGAGGGAACAGATTGCTTGAATGTCTTTCTATTGTATATCACATTCCTGTTCAAAAGACCATGGAGGAGCGTGAACTGGGCGATAGGCAAACCTGTCTATATGCTAGTATTATTGAAATATTACTTTCTATCAAATTACATATTTAGTTGCAATTTAGGTTTAGGGAGTCAATCATAATTATCTACATGGGAACTGGAATCTACCAACTTTAGATATGTACTGAGATTCTGGGGGCACCTCAAGGCGGTCTAATGGTTGGCAAGTTTGTCTCACTAGAACAATTACAACTGAGTAGTGAGTTCAATCTTTACTGGGTGCCCCATACTTTTGGCCTTGTGCCACATCTAAGCTACACTTGGAAAATCACTATGTACTGAGATTTTGGTTACTTTTGATTTGTGTTCTTGGAGTAAACTGTTAATCTCTATCAAAAGTATCTCTCTAAAGTATTGTCACCAATACACCATATTAATTAATGGAGAACAAAGTGTGAGAATAAAAGCTTGGGCAAATCATTCTATAACTAATTTGTCTGAGTATAAGCAGTGTTTTAAAAACTATATAAATATTTTTTTTTCATCAATTTTGAAATGGATGTGCAGGTGGAAATTTGAGAAATTTGGAATGAGAAATCTGGGAACTAGGTTCAAATTCCAATCAGGTTTGTTACATTTATTTATGTGCAAATAACCTGGGGAAAGGTACGAGTCAATCTCCTCCTCAGTTATGGGTTAAATAGTAGGACTTGTATCTAGAAAAATCATTGTTATTCTTAAAAAAAATTGTTAATGCCATATTCACTCACCCCCAAAAAGTCTTATAATACAAAGAATATATTTCAGCTTTAAATAACCCACAAAGGGTTGATGAACCTTAAAAAAACAGATCACTCAATATCAGTTTTGATGTTGGCCATGCACACACACTCTTGAAACTTATGTATGTTGTATGGGTTTATATATTCTGTTATATAGGAATAAAGTGTCACTGCACAAACACAAGCAATTCCATTTTGAATAAGTAGATTACGTGATGGCAAAGGAAATGTATATATGGGAATTAGCATGGTGTCTATTTGATCACTATTTCTACACTAACTTCTGTTACTATACAGATCACTATTCTCCATACTATTCACTATACTATTTCTCTCTGCTGGTCACTATACAGATTACTGTTTGTATCACTATTTAGTAGTTACTTTTCAAGCGAGTATTATCGAGCAAGTACTATTAGTGCGAATGATATTTGGCAGCATCTGACACCAGTATTGCTCAACAATATTACTATAGTTGTATCTGTGATTACAAAGTCTCTACTACGACAAGCATTACAAAAGTGACCACAAGTATTCATTGACATTGCAAAAGTGGCAATGAGTGTTCGTTGACATCACAAAATATTCTAATTATTTCTGGTTGCTCAAGATATTTTGGTGGGTCAAAGTAAGAAAGAAGTTTAAAGAAAGTTTGTTTCTATGGCCAAGTGTACTTATTTTGCAAACCATTGATGCTAAATTAGATCTTTTTTGGCCATTCCCTTTATAACTAAGTGAACCTCCTCAGCACAAATCTGTTTCAAGCTCTCGTGATAGTGGATGAGATACGGTTCTAGTTTTACAAACCATTCATAATGAATTGTACTTAATTTTGCATTGATATCTTTGTGTGTCTGTATAAATTACAATGGATCCAATAGTTGAGCATATTTCTTCCTTTAAGAGAAATTATATTTATTCTTATTAACCCCACCTATTTTATTTGTCGTTTCATGCTTCACTTAACATTCCTCTATTGTTGTGTAAGTTATTGATAATCGATAATATATTAATGCATCTGGAGATTTGAGTTCAGCTTCAATCACATTAACAGAAAGACTGAATAAGGAGAAAAATAGAAGCAGAAAGATCATGTCGTGCCAAACTTTCAATGGGGTAGAAATCTTTTTAGATTGAAGGTGAAGAAATGCAAGCAAGAAGATAGTGTTTTGCCAATGATCCACTAGGGCAGAAATCATTTTAGTATGACCAAAATGGCTTAGTAAAAAGGAAAATAGAAGCAGGGAGATCGTATGGTGCCAATCTTTGAAGAGGGCAGAAATCTTTTTAGTATTACCAAAATGGTTGTAGTGGGAGAAATGTAGGTACAAAGATAGATTGCGCCAATCTTCAAATAGAGCAGAAATCTTTTTAGCATGACCAAAATGCTGAGTGGGGAGGAAAATCAAAGCAGGGAGATCATGTTGTGCCAATCTTTCAATAAGGCAGAAATTTCCCTAGCTTGAAAAACAGCATTCAGAATTGTCTTTTTAACTTTGTTTTGATTAAAATATATTAAACAGAAGTACTGGATTTTTGTCTGAAAATGTTTTGCATATTTTTATGGGCTTTGAATAACTGACAGTTGTTTTTGAAGTAAGCTTTTTATGATCACTTTCAATCTACAATGTAAGTATAATTCTAGACTGGACACTTATTTGCTGTTTTTACACAAATAGAAAATCCTTTTCTTTCTTTTTTTCTTTGTTCATGACACCCATAATTTTAAAATACATAAGCCTAAGAAGAAAAATAAAATGGCACATTCTTTTTTCTGAGATTTCTTTTTCTAAAGGAACTCAATTCATCGTATGGAAAATCCTCAGCTTCTACCTTGAATCCAAGGTTAGTATTTTTTACAAGAGAAGAAAAGGTTGAACCAATTCATTTTTGTTAGTTGGATTTTTTTTTCCTCCTATATTTTAAAATGACACATTTGTATAAAGTCATACAAAATCATGATCCAGTTTTACATGGTAAACTGAACATTTTTCCATCATCAGTACAGTCAAGGTTCAGTCTAACAACTTCTTAAAATTGAACATTTTCTAAAAGAAGAATCATTCTATGTCAAATCAACAAGGGGTCAGACCATAACAGGCACTGATTTTTTTCAAAATTGCTACGCTTATAGATCTTCATGATATGAATTGAATGACATCAGTCTTACCTCTCAAAGTTGAATGGTTCTTTCATTTTGACCTTTGCCAAAAATATGAATTTTTGATGATAATGACAAAGTTTAAAATTTAATATCTTCAGTGTTTTTGCACACAAAGAACTTATTTATATACCATTTTAAAGTACTCAGATGTATCTAAAATGTACTATATGTATTTTTTACTTTAGAGGTCAAATAAGGCAATTGGTCATTTTGAAGATTTAAAGATCAACTGAATTCTGTTGACCACTGACATAAAATGTGGCACATTCTTTTGATGTTAGTGCCAGATAAAATGTTAACATGATTTTAAATCACTTTTTAAATATGTATTTTCATTATATCACTTTTTTTCATAATACAATCTGTTTGTTATATTAAAATATGCAAACAGAAATCAAAAATGTCTGAGTTTTTTCCAACAACATATTTATCATCATTTAACAAAAAATATTAAAAAAAATCTGTTGATTTTATGACCATGGTACTTATGTAAATGTTATTCAACATTAAAAGAGCTTTCTAAAGATATACAACTTAGCCATATGATGAGATATTAAAATGTTGGCAAAACTGCCATTTTGAATTGAGGTCATTTCAGTAAAACACTTATTTCAAAAGTTCTACTCAGTTTCCCATCATGACAAAAGACAGACAAATTATTTGGCAAATTTAAAAAAAAATATAAGATAACATTTTTTGAAAAAATGAAGGTCAAAGGCTAAGGTCAAGGTAAACTTATTTGACCTTTAAGATAAAAAATACATATGGTACATTTTAGATCCATTGAAGTACTTTTAAATGGCATATAAGTAAGCTTTTTGGGTGCAAAAACACCAGAGATATTAAATTTTAAACTTTGTCATTATCATCAAAAATTCATAATTTGGCAAAGGTCGTTACTCAAGAACTGTTCAACTTTGAGAGGTAAGACTGATGTCATTCTGTTCATATCATGAAGATCTATAAGTGTAGCAAATTTGAAAAAAATACATGTTGGTCATTGTATTTTTGCTTAAAAAATTTGTTGATTTGACATGGAATCATTCAAAAATGAAAGCCATATTCAAACAAATACACCAAGCATTTTTTTGTGTCATCTGCATTCAAGATGGAGATGATCATGATTCTCTGCAGATTTTTCATTATCTGTCAAGTGCCTTGCATTTTTGATAAAGAGGGGAGTGGTTTTTTTGGTAATTCAGTTTTCTTTCTCTTAGACTCATTGCCAGCTAAGGCTAGAGAGTTCAAACTAAATGCAACAGACAAGCCAGGAATTTGGATTTGTCTTGCCAATTCCACTTTCCATGCCAATATCGATTAAACTACTCCCTCAAAAATCCACTACTTACAGTTTGATGAATGTCCTCAAATATCAAATTTTGTCACCAGTAGGAAATACAAAACTTTTTCAACCTCATGGCAGCCAACATGAGTACTGATCTTATTCTATGAAATATTCAAACTAGAATCTTTGTTTTTGTTTTGATCTGTACACTTTCTTTTTGCTTCAGTCATTCAATTGAATCCCTTATTTTCAAATTGCTGTTTTTCTTATACTGCTTAAGAGTCAACAAAAGAAATTTTGTTGCCAATTATTTTATTTGAATATGTTTTTATTCAACATTTTATATCTTTCAGAGCGATGTTGCTGACTTGATGTTTGAAATGCTTCCTGAAGATAAACGTAATTTCTCTCGAATATGTGGTGTGCCTTACACTGCACTTCCTATTGCAACAGTAAGTACAGAGATTTTGTTTCCAGAATCAGATACGAAGGCAATTGTTATGACATTAGTGATTGATATGTTAGCAAAAAAGTTGGTGTTTTTGGGATTAGGTGGCATTAAGAGAGTTTAGTTTTAACTAACTTCATTCAGAAAGATGACTTTTGACTGCAATTTTTAAAATTGTATTTTTGTTTCATTGTATTTCATTGATTCTAGAATTGGAAAATAGAGAAAATCTGCAACACTTTGGGCACATAATACCTTTTTATTTTAAGAAAGGTAAAAAATGCAATTCAAAGGTAACTCCAGTTCATGGGGAAGGGAACAATGATTTTATTAAAAAAGGACATTTCTTACTGAACTCTGCTCTACAGTGGGTTGGCAGTGATCAAATCAAAATGTTACTTGAGAATAATTAATATTATATAGCACGAGAGGTAGCCATCACACCAATCTGAGCACGAGAGGTGGCCAGTATTGAAATAATTTAGTTATTTCCCCTTGACCAATTGCATGATTGAGCAAGAGGAATTGAGAATGGTGGCGCTAGTAGATAATCTACATAGCAGCTGTATTAGCCAATTAGGATTCACTTTGAGGTAAGCTAATGGTTTAGTTTTGTGTTAATTTCTAAATATTTTAATGGTTTACATCTTTGTTAATTTAATTATTAAACAATTAATAAAAACACTATTAAAATAATAGTGTTTTTATTATGCTAGTAACAGCTATCAAAAAATGTTTCCAATAAAACAGAATGAAAAAATACAGAAGAGGTCACAGTTTTATAAATACAATAGAATAAAAAGTAATAAATCTAACTTTGCATCTGCAATGTTATTGGTCCTGAACTGGCATCTTGACATCAGTTACTTTCTCACTGCCATACCATAATTTTCCTGTATCATTTCCATAAATACTTTCATGATAATTGTCCTGATGTACTTTCCTCTATGGTACCTAAACCTTATGAATTTAAGTGTACTACTAGACTGGCAGCAAGATCCCATCATTTTACAATTGAATGGATTTAACCATAAGCTTGATCAGGGTAGCATCTTTTGACAGAAACTGCTAACAGTTTCTTCTGGTTTCTTGCTTTCTGGTCAACTTTGATCTTCAAAAATTTAAATGCAATGTCAATCATTATCTTATACCTTTTTAATTCCTGTTCTTTTATTGTTCTCTCTCCTAATAATGTTTTTTTGCCCCTCATATTCTCTCACACTCAGTAACCCCCCCCCCCTTGCATCTTAGTGGCTTTATTGCCATGCTTGGGGTGAAGTGATTAAAAAAAAAAAAGGGATTTCAACACAAAACCAAATGGGGGGGAAAAGGAAGATAATGTTGCACTAATTTTCAAAATGGAAACAGCTTAACTGCTTTAAAATTGCACGCTTAGAGATACATTTATTTTTTTTTTTCTCCAGTATTGTTAAATTTTGGCTTATTTTGTATATATTTTTCTCTTTGTTTTTAGTGCATCTCTCTGAAGCAAAATATTCCAATGTTGATCAAGAGGAAAGAAGCCAAAGATTATGGTACCAAGAAAATGGTTGAAGGCATATTTAACAAGGGAGACAAGTGTCTTATTATTGAAGATGTTGTCACTAGTGGCAGTAGTATCTTGGAGACAGTACAGGTATGCTAAACATCCAGATTAAAGCAGTTTTATACTTTCAAAACTCAGAAATTGGTTTCTCTTTACCTGTAATGATCTCTTGCTGATCGATGGGTCGTTAAGTTTTAAACAAACAAACAAACAAACTCTTTACCTGTAAATGAAACTAACAGACCATCATTGCTGTATACATTCTCTCGGAGAAACAACTATCATGGTAATTTTTCCCCATGTTTTTTTTATAATGTATGTTTATAATTTGAAATACTGTAAAGTAATAAGGGTTGCTTCTTTAAACAATTGCAGTTTACACTTGAGCAAAGTTTATCAGCTTACCAGTTTTTAACATTAGTTTTACTTTTACATTGGTAAACTTTGGAAATGAAGTTATTTTTGGTGACATCATTTTGGGATAAAAAAAACAATTGTCAGAATCTGTATGAGTTTTGTAGAAATCAAAAAAATTACATTTTAACTCCTATATTTTCTTGAGATAAAATGTATTTTCAAGTCAAATTGACACTGATTTTACAGTGTTTTAAATAATAAAGCCCAATTTCTTTAGTAAATTGTTGCATCATAAACTCTTATTCAAACATTGAAATGCTGACATCTCAATGGTTTTTTTTTGATTTTGACCCTTTTGGAGGTGTGATAGCCTTACCATAGTGTGTATGCATGTCTTTGTATGTGCATGTCTACTTGCCTGTGGGTGTATGCTAATGAGTCTCTGTATCTTTATGCGTGTCTCACTCTCTCTGTATCTGTATCCATGTCTCTGTCTTTTCGTGTCTCTCTCTCTCTCTATATCTGTCCATGTCTCTGTGTGTCCTTTTCTGTCAGCGCACAGCTTACTCTCTCTCTCTCTGTGTAGGTGCGCAGCTTGCTCTCTCTCGCTGTGTTTGTGCACATTCTCTCTCTCTCTCTCTGAGCGCATCTCTCTCTTTCTCTCTAAGCACATCTTTCTCTCTCTCTGTGTCTCTTTGTTCCTGCATCTCTCTTTGTCTGTAACAGTCTCTCTCTGTATTTGCATACATATTTTGCTCCCTCTCTTTCAACATGTATTTCTCTGCCCATACATGTCTCTGTTTTCTCCCTCTCTCTCTCTCTCTCTCTACATTTGTGTCTTTCTCTGTCTAGTAATGTAATTAGCTGTGTAATATTTTCGTCTGGCAGTCCTTACAGACAATCGGTGTGGAAGTTACTGATGCTGTTGTTTTACTGAATAGAGAACAGGGAGGTGAAGCTAACATCACCAAAAATGGCATCACTTTGCATAGGTAGGTAGAAATAGGTTTGTCTTTTGGCATTTCTTCTTTTACATATTAATGCCGTACTTTCTCAAAACAAGTGACATTGTTTACTGATTTTAATAAACTTTCTTTACATTTTGTGGATCCTCTTCCTTTCTTCACACTTACTTTGCAATTGAATATGGGGGACAACTCTATTGTATTTTCTTTTTTCTTCTTTTTTTTTTTTCTTCTTTTTTTTTTTTTCTTTTTTTTTTCTTCTTTTTTTTTTTTTTTTTTTTTTTTTTTTTTTTTTTTTTTTTTTTTTTTTTTTTTTTTTTTTTCTTTTTTTTTTTTTTTTTTTTTTTTCTTTTTTTTTTTCTTTTTTTTTTTTTTTTTTTTTTTTTTTTCTTTTTTTTTTTTTTTTTTTTTTTTTTTTTTTTTTTTTTTTTTTTTTTTTTTTTTTTTTCTTCTTTTTTTTTTCTTCTTTTTTTTTTACTAAAGCACTCAAGGTAGAGAGTTACAAAATGTGATTGTTGTATGGACATAAGAGGAGACAGACTGTGAGGATGTGTAGGGTAGATAACAGTTGACGTTAGACTTGAAGAGGTTAAGATTGTTATGATTAGAGAAGCATCCTCTATAGAGTCTGTTCCATAATCTGAGAGGAACTTCCTTCTTACCAATGGAATAAGAAGGGAATGCAAATGATTTGACCTTGTATACAAGGCATGACATGTCCTAACTGTAAGAGTCTGAATTGGTGGAACTAAGGAATACAATTCATCTGAACATTTGCCATGGAAATAGCAATATAGTAGCAATAGGTTTGTGATGTTTCATCTGTTTGAAAGGGGCTGTAGGATTGGAAATAATTCATGACCTGCAAGGCTGTGTAAGCGCTTTTGAACTCTGTCAAGACTAAAAAATGAGCATTGGGCAGATATAGCAGCAATACTCCATTTTTAGTCTGATCTGACTTTTGTAAAGATAGAGCATGGCAGAAGGTAATTTTTAGAACAGCACAAGGAATCAATTATTTATCCAGCATCTTTAACAATTGTTTCCTCTGAAGATTCCTAGTATTGTCATATAGAGAATGATTGCATTCTCCACATTAAGGATCTGCTAGACTTGCTTATTAATCATTGTAGGGAGATTTGTTCTGTATTAGTATAATTTTTAATGATATGAAAACTTTAAGAAAAAGCCTGGCTATATTTTTGTTAGTTTCTGAAATGCTCTCTTCTCAGAATGAACAAAAGCATTTTTTTTCTTTTTATTTCAGCGTGTTTACTATGTCTCAGATTATGGATGTTTTGAGAGAGACAAACAAGATATCTCCAAGCACTGTGTCAAGTGTGATGCAGTTCATCTCAGAGAATCAGGTTTTGCCTCCTGTTACAAAAAAAAACACCGTGATCGATAAAGATAATTTAACCAATTCCAGTGTCGTTAAGGTGAGATTCCTTTCACTTTGGGGTCTGGAATGTTTTTTATCACTTCATTGATTGATTTGTTTTTTGCGGATTATTTAAAGCCAGAAAATATTTTTAGATTGTAAGAATTTTTTTTTTTTTTTTTTTTTTTTGCGATAATAATGATTTACTGATACAAGTTCTACTAAATTAACCCATAGCTAGGGGAGTAAGAAATGTATTTACACTTTTCCTAAGGATATGTGCATGTAAATGAATATATGGAACTCGGCTCTCTGATTTTTAATTCCAAGCTGTTATCCATTACACCACCCACACATCCAAGCTTACAGAACCTGGTATTGCCAAATGGTTACTCATCTAGTTTCTGCCAGGCTCAACATTGTTTAACTTCAGTGTTTATACAAGAACAGGTGTTTTAACCTTTATCACTTGAATCTACTTGATTAAAGAATAACATTGCTCTAGTGTCCCAATTTCTGAATATTTTTTTTTTTTTTTAAATTGTTGACAAACATTTTTTCCTGACCTAATTACAAAATTAATTGGCTAACTACTGGTTGTAGCAAATACATTTGAACTTGAGAAAAGTTGGCTCTTATATTGATTTTCACTAGGGCTTTCCTCATTTCTAATAGTCATCAATGGATAACATGGTAACATAACCGTATTTAAGAATATCAAAAATACTTTTTTTCTGTTCAAACAGAATTTCTCCAGATTTTCCAATTGGACATTGTTATTTGAATATCTAGCCCCAGCCCCAAGTTGAATTTTTTAAATATCTCCAAAACAGTTGATTTCTTATCAATGTTTAATTATGATTTTTTTTCTTTTTCTTTTGTCTTTAAAAGGCTCTAAGTTTCCAAAAACGAGCTGAACTCTGTAAACATCCTGTTGCCAAGAAACTGTTCACATGTATGGCTGAGAAGAAAACTAATCTGATTCTTTCTGTTGATTTAACCTCAGTTTCTGAAATCATTGAAGTAAGATAATACACACTTTTTTTTTCTTTTCTTTTTTTAATTATGCTCAAATTTGTGTGTGTGTGTGTGTGTGTGTGTGTGTGTGTGTGTCTTGTGGACTGGAAGACTGCTACACCAAGAAGCATTCACTGATTGAAAGAATATGTATGATTTCCAGAATGGTCTCTTGAGAAATTACAGTTTTCATGTGTTACTGGATCTTGTGTAATGCTATCCCTTGTAAAAGGATAAATCTCAGAAGGCCGTAGGGTCAAGTCACAGGAGGCTATGAGGTTCGCACCATTCACTCATAGACACCCAAAGGAAAATTGTTAGTATCATCTGCCAGAAAAATTAGCAATTTTTAAAGCAATCTACTCAACTTAGAATACTTATGATCAGGCAGGAGTGAAGCATACAATAGGTGGCTTTGTCCCGTGGAGAGGCTATAATGCAAATAAAAGGTTTGTCATTTAATCGATTGATGTTACCTTCAGCATCCTGACTCCAGAGATTTGTAGATGGCTCATCCGAGAATCACTCCATCCATTTGTCAGTGGGTATCATCAACAGACTGCTTATACTTCTTGATTTTTCTTTTTTATATGCAGTTTTCATTGGTGCAGGATTTTTTTTTTTTTCATAGTGTATGTGTTCATTCACACCCATGCAAAATGTTGTGGTTGTTGTTTTTACTTTACACTCACTTCTTATTAGCTTTTTTACCTATTCTCTCTTTTTCTTGTTTTTTAATTGTAGCTATTTTGACTTTCGGTTTTCCAGGTAATATATAATATTGCACGTTGAGTGTTGATGCTAATAAAATAGTGCTCAATCTCAATGTATAATAACAGAGTTATAGCAATGGATTTTTATTTATCAATTCAATAAATTTTTATCACTTTAAATGTTATTATTAGTGGACACTTTATTTGAGTAGAAGCTCTGCCTGTTTATTAAACAGTATATATATTTTCATCTACCTGAAATAGTGCTGGATTGTTATGTGATATCCTCTTATATTGTAGTGAATCTTGAACAATATCCCTATGAGTGAGGAAAAAACTAGAGGCAGCAGAAATGTGGTTCTATAGAAGGATATTGAATCTTCCATGGACAGAGCGAGTAAGCAACAAGGAAGGCTTAAAGAAAATAGCCTTGGAAAGAACACTTATACTCAAAATCAAGAAGACAGCTGAAATTTCTTGCACATATAATGAGGAAAGAGGGCTTGGAAAACTTAACTCTCACGGAGCATATTGAGTGTGAGAGAGAAGACAGACACTTGACAACCTTGGCAAAGAGAGAAAAACATACGAGATAGAAAGTTTTCAAGAGCCATGATCACCTTTGTCCTGAAGGGACACTGCAGATGAAGAAGCCACATTGACATCAGTAGCAGAGAATCTTAGTTAAATTTGAATGCAGTTGATTATAAATGAGTTGCTTATTAAAAATAAGACAATCATGTACTTAATTGGATATATTCTTTCCAGATGTATACTCAGAATTGTCCAAGCACATCAGATTTTTGAGATATGTGCATAGCATATTTATGTTCAAGGTAAATATTATATTAATCATATATTAATACTGTATTATTTTGTTTGTTATTGCTAGACTCAACCTGTCACACCTGCTGATTAGAATGGGTTCAGCACATAAAGCTCATGATATTTCTCCAAAGTCAGTTGACGTCCACTTGCCTGGTGAATCCTTATCAGTTTAATTTAAGGTAGCAGAGCATAGTTTCTAATATGTCTAGTGATGGCTTCACAGAAACAACCACCTGTATTCAACCATGGTGACTCATTTAGAGACTGGAAAACAGGTGTAGAAGTTTTGGAAACTGTTTACAAAGGATGAAAAATCTAGACATGGTCCTGCAGTTTATTTAAGCTTATTTGGAGATGTCACTGAAGGAAGAGTGCTTATATACAAGAGTATAGAGTCATTATGGGCATAATTACTGTGGATTTAATGAAGGTTCAAACTGTTAGAGGGGTACTACAAATCATAAAAGATTCAATTGAAACCAAGGAGGGATGTTCAGATCAGAGTAAGGAGAAGAAGTAAAGGAAGGTGAAATAGAGTAGATTCTGATGAGGTTGTTATGTGATGACATTTGTGTGACAGCATGAAGCATTTTGTATATGATTGTCCACACAGGCAGATTGAGGATGCTAAGTTGACAATTCATCTTGCCTTCATTACAGGAATGGTAATCAAAGAGCAGGAAATCATGCTAATTGAATTGTTTGCAATGAGCATTCTTGTGCTTGGACAAAACACTGCAGGTGGACAAACATGGATTGATGAATATTGATCTCTTCTTTTTGAAGATTCTTACACCTTATCAACCTTTTGCAGGTTATTTAAAGCCACTAAATGTTTTTAGATTGTATGATTTTTTTTTTTTTTTTTACCTAATAATGATTTACTGATACAAGTACTCCTAATTAACTCATAGCTGGGTAGAGAAGAAATAGATTCATACCTTTCCCAAGGCTCTTTGCACATAAGTGAATATAATGAACTCAATTGGAATTTGAATTCTGCTCTCCAATTTCCAATTCTATACTGTTACCCAATACACCACCTGCACATACAAGCATACAGCACCTGGTATCCCCAAGTGGTCACCCATCTACATACTGACCAAGCTTGATGAAAAGAACAATATGAATAAATGTGCAAGAGCCAGCTGATCGCATTACAGATTTATAATGATGATGATATTGTGAAGAAGAATTGATAATTCCTGTGAGAATTTGAAGAAGAGAATTATTGTAGATATAGTTAATAGTCATTGCTGATTAGAAGACTTACAATAAGGTATCTCAGTTTCAACCTCATTTTCTCTTTCATCATCAGAGCATGAATTAGCATTCAACTGTTCATTTTTTTTTCTTTTGTCTCATTTGTATGCTGAGTCCTAGTATTTTGTTACATCTGTTTTTTTTTGTTTTTTTTTCTTCATATCTTTATCTTGTACTTCTTGATAGTTAAGCTTTTGCAATTGACAATAGTGACCTCTGTAGGATTCACTACTGTAGTGAATTAGTACAAGAGTTTTTACAAGAGCTCAGATCAGACCAAAAATGGAATATTGTAATCAAATCTGAGCTGGAGCTTTCCAATCCTCTTGATAGTTCAAAAGTGTTTACATAGCCTTATGGGTGAGAAATTATTTCCCACCCTACAATCCCTTTCTCACAGATGAAATAGTGCAAGCTTCTCACTGCTCTATTGCTACTTCTATAGCAAGTGTTCTGACAAGTACACTACACTTAGTCCCACCACCCCTGATCTAAGACTCACCATGCCATGTACACAAGGGTGAATCATCCTCATTCCTTTCATATTCCAATAGTGAGAAGCAAGTTCCATTCAGCTTTATGAGATAGACTCTCAGCAAGATGTTTTGCCAATCACTAAAATCTTGACTTTTTAAAGTGTAAGCTTATAAATCCCATGCTACCAAGTGGATATTAATATAATATTCATATTTTGAATGGGGAATATGTTACGAGTGCATCTCAAAAACCTATGACAATTTTGAAGAGAGATTCTTTATTAATCTTGTAAGGTATAGTTTTCTGTGCAGCAGATTGAAAGTTGTTTTTGTTTTTTTTTACCTAATGTAATTAACACTTCTGCTGTTGTAGACACATATCTTTACCAAACATACCTGCTATCAGCATTTATATACATATTAAAGACACTGAAATGTCGGTCCCTAATATTTTTGTTAAAAACTAACTAGTGCTTAATGCTATTTTCAAATCAGTGTAGATATATAGAAGTGTACAGTATAGTTTGTTTTGTAATTTATTTTTTTATAATTGTTTGTTTTTTAATCATTTCACCCCAAGCAAGAAAATAAAGCCACTAAGATGAAAACATTATGAAGAGAGAACAATAAAAAAAAAAAAAACAAGTATTGTGTATTGGGGTTGTTGCTTAGAGTATCCAATTGAAATCACGATGGTAGCACTCATGACAAATCACCAGCAGAGTCTTAATAGACATTTATTTCCAGTAAATGGCAATTTCCTTTTTTTCAGAAAAATGGCCAGTGCAGACAGCAATGAAGTCTTACCATAAAACAAGGTCACCCCAATTATAAACAGCACATAACACAAAATTCTAACATACATGTAATCAGTGAATGAAATAATTTTTTGTTTTTCCTGCTCTATGAAAAAATTGAATTAACAAAAAAAGAAAAGTTTCTTTTAAATTTGTGTTTATCTTATTTTCAGGCGATTGAAAAGATTGGTCCCTTTGTATGTGCAGTGAAGACACATGTTGATATCATCAAAGATTTTAACAATGATTTTCCAGTCATGTTAACCAAGTTGTCAGAAAAACACAATTTTGTTATATTTGAAGACAGGTAAGTTATGATAGAAACAGATTTTTGAACCTGTACGATAGTGTTGAATAGGTAAATTATTCTTGCATGTTTGTGAAAATTTGGACTGATTTTAAAAAGGCAAAATAGATTAGCAGGGACATAACTACTAGAGCAGTAACCTCAAGCCCAACACTTAAAAAAAAAAAAATTAAACAAATAAGTACTCCCTCCTTCTCACAGTACTCCATTAAATGCAAGCATTTATCCAATTAACCTCTTTTCAGGGATTTTCATTAATTATTACAGTTACAGGTAATGAAACTTTGTTCTACTGGCATGTATTGATTTTCAAAGTACTGGAAATAAGAGGTTTCATATTCAAGAAATATGTTATGGCCTCCATAAGTTGTGTATATGACAACAATCCAATCACTAAATTAAGATCTGTCAAAATACTGTCACCAATTAATATTCACAAAAATGTGTTTTCATGTTCCAATACAAAGTTAGAATTTATTACCAGGATGTGTGTGTTTGTATGTACTGATAAGATATTGGTTGTTTGGTGAATTTTGTTATTCTTGTAATATTAGCCTATTAATGCCCACCATAATAACCAAGTGTTAATTAAAAAAAACTTATTAAACTAATAATCTAATATTAAGTATAGGCTTCTTAAAATATAATAATAAAAATCAATAAAAAAATAATTAAATTAAATAGAATAAAAAAAAAAAACAGCATTATAGGTTTTCTAAAAAAAAAAAAAAAAAAGCAATGAACAAAACAATTAAATAAAATAGAATAAAGAAATTAGTATGCATTGCCTGTGTTTTGAGAATTTTACCTCTAGGCAATTATTTATTCTTAATATAACTGATCTATTTAGCTTAATTAAGATCAGTTATATTAGGATAAATAATTGCCTCAGTATGGAGCTTCCAGTATTGATAAAATTCACTACAGTGCTAATGATTTTTGTGATGAGTATACCAGTATGAAAAAGAATATTAGAATGTCTGTAAAACTTGGAAAATAATAAACATGCTTCAATTCACAATCTCAAACTAGATTATGACTACTACTTTAAAAATGTAAGTATGCTATCGGTCTTTTCCCAACTGAGCAAATTACCCACTAATAGCCAGCTCCTTTCTGAATACTGTCTCGTCACACTGTATGGGTGGTTTGCAAGTAACCATTCTATTTTGTGGTCTGACTCTGTAAGCCTTTGACTGGAACTCTCTACCTTCCAGCTGAGTGGCACTTGATCCAGAAATTTTTCATTTATTTATTTCCTTTGTGTCTCATATTGACTGCAGGTGGTTTGCAGTGAAGATCTCACTTTTAGACTTTACAGTTGTCCATAAAGCACCAAACCTTTCAGTGTAAAATAAAATTATTTAGAGTTCACTTGACTTTATGTGTGTTGTAATCACAACCAGATCGTTATGTATTACAACAATAAAGTGAGTAACAAAATGTAGAATGGAAGAGCATTGTAGCAGAAAAATGAGAACCCTGAATGGTACAATTTAGGCAATTTCTATGAATTAAAAGTTTAGGCATGTGATTTGAGTTCTACTTGTTCCAAATTGGTTAAAAAAAATAGGGAGTGAGAAAAGTGCCTCACAAAAATTAAACTAATCAAAGTTAATAAATGTGTACTAATAAAAATACTTTTTAAGATTCTAACAAATATTGTTAACAGCCAAAGAAAACAGTTCAACATAAACACATTATGATAAAAAATTTACAGAAAAATAAAGTTATTTAAAACCTAGTTCATTAACTGTGAATTTTTCATTGCTGTTCTATAGCTCAGCTGTGAATTATGAGAATTCGTCATCACAGTTCTATGGGTTAGTTGTGAATGACAGAAATGTTTACCAGTCATCTTCATCTAAAAGATAATGAAAGAACACACTCGTGTATAAAAGACTGCAATTAGACATTGTACCATACTTAGAAATCTACCAAACAAAAGTGAATTTTTCTAGATAAATATTTTTATATCTTGTTTTTCTCCTAAACCATTTTAGCATGGGTTATTTTTATTATTCATGTTATCTAAAACCACATTCAAGTAAAATAATAATAATAATAATAATCCTAAACTAAAATTAAATTGTTGCCATGTTTGGAAAAATGAATTGTTATTGCTGTATTTAATGGATTTGATTTTTTTTTTTTTTTTTAAATATTTCTATAAGGAAATTTTCAGATATTGGTTCCACTGTACAGAATCAATATGCAGGTGGGCTCTTCCGCATTTGTGACTGGGCACATTTAGTAACTGTTCATCCAGTGCCTGGTTATGGAGTCATTGAAGGACTGAAGGATGTAAGTATTCTTTCTGCTTGCCTAATTGTTTCTCTGGGAGTCATGTTCAGCATCTCCATCAATTTGTCTTGAATGCCAAAAATTTTAAATATAAAGTTAAGCATCCCTGTATCTACTGCATTTTCTCAGTGGAGAATTGTAACCAATGTAACTTTTGTATTTTATTCACTCCTCCTCTGTGTGTGTGTGTGTATATATATATATATATATATATATATATATATTCACCTAGGTTACACACATAAATTCACTCAATGCATTAGTCATTCACTGTAATGAATCTGACCATAATTTTGACCTCTTTTTTTTTTCTAATTATTTCACCCCAAGCAAATCAATAAAGCCCCAAAGATGCAAGGAGTTACTAAGTGTGAAACAATGAGATAGGAGAATAAAAGAACAGGAATTAAGAAAACAGAATTAATTGGCATTACATTTAAATTTATGAAAATCAAAGTTGACTGGAAAGCAAGAGGCCAGAAAAGTTCCACAGACAAGAAGTGCAAAAGAAATTTAGTATAGAATTTAAGTTTACATCTAGCCATTTTAACTCTAAAATATTAAAAACCTAGCTGAAAATCTAGTCAGTCAGTTAAGTGTCATATGTGATACACACTTGGGTGATCATGTCTCTTCCAATGACTAGACAGAAAATTTTCCCACAGTAGAGTGCCATTTCTTTCTGCAGGATTTAGTATTGCACTTAAATTCATAAAAACAAAATAACAAAGTAGTCCTGAATTTAATTTAATGTAAGATTTTGGTAATTTCAATTTGTGCAACATCAAGCCATTTCTTTTTTTCCTTTTTCATCTTATCATTTCTACAGTATGTCACTTTCTTTTTAATTATCTGTAACAAAAACTGCTCCAAATATTCTTTGTCTAAAAGCTGAATCTCAACCAGTTAATTTTCTTATATTGCCAAAGATTTCTGGCTGTTTTGGGGCTGGAAAGAATGATTATCAAAACCTAGTTTTCAGGGAGTATGTTTCCAAGACAACATTTTCCCACATTATGAAAGCACACCATTTCTTCACTGATCACATACAAATTAAAGGCCATTGTCTTAGAAAAAAGAAAAAAATATGTGTCATATTTGTCATTATTTATCATCTCTCAGTTGCATCTCTGTCCTTGGACAGAGTGCGCTCAGGGGCTTCTCTGTCAAAGGACAGAGGGGCAACTGAGGAAAATTATACTGAAGAGGTGCCCAGCCCTGGGGAACAGTTGCCCGAGGCAGTGCCCTCTGATTGCACAAGAGGGAGGGATCGGTGCTTGCACCGAGGCCAGTGCAACTGACGGTTGCAGAGGCTGAGGGGAATTTTTGTCCCTGCCCGAGTGTACACGCTCGGGTCCCCACATTAATCCGACCTTGTGTCACATCTCATTCTCATGGGGTAATGAGTAAACACTGTCATTATGGGGTAAAAAATTAATATTAATTTTTTTTATATTCTCCTTTTACTTACAGATTGGTTTGCCCAATGGCCGAGCTTGTGTGTTAGTGGCAGAGATGAGTTCATCAGGAAATCTTGCTAAAGGAGATTACACAACAGGTAAATCACTCATCATATTGCATCATTTCAGTTAATTTTCTCATCTTTTTTTTTTTTTTCTTTTTGTTTGACCCGCTTCTTCATACATCATTACATCTGCTGCACACATTGCATTTTATCTTTTTGTAGATAAGCTTAGCTGTGCAGAGAGTAAAGTTTCTTATTTTTGTAACTGCATTTAATTTATATTTTACAAAGTTTGTATTGGGGTGAAAATGTAATCGTGATAAACTAATTTTGGTACATTTGCACTGCAATCAATTCATTGATATTCAAATGGGACAATGAAAATGATTACAAAATATTTTTAAAAGTTTACTGAAATTTGTTCAGTAGAAGAAAACAACTTGCCTGCTATCTCTTCTTGTACATGCACTTTCTCACTTTGTTTATATCACTATATATATATATATATATATATATATATATATATATAGACAAAGGTTTCACAATTGTGTAATCATCAGGTAACAAGAGCTTTCTTTTGGTCACCTGGAAGGCTTTCTATTTATTGTATCAAAACTTTGGATTTGTGTGTGTGTTGTCAGCTTTATCTCAAATCCAAGAATTTAATTGCTTCTTTGCTGATGGTATCCTTTATGATGATGGTGGCATTGATGACTAAGTAGACCATTTCTTGCATGGAAGATCCTATCACATTGACTGCAGGATAATGTTGGTGGAGGACAAGGTTAAATTTTGTCAAACTATTCATTCTTGTCATTTGATTTCTTCCTTTTCTCTTCTAATGGCTTCAAAGTTTTGCTTCTGATGGAGATGGAACACCACCAGTTGGTACAGCCTCAGGCTTGTTTCAAACAATTTAGGCTCAAGTCCAGTGGCTTTTAGTGTTGCTATGAGTTAGTCTTTGTATCTTTAAAGAAGGCAATCCTATGGTCATTTCCCTGAAGTGAGAGGAAATCTTGACTCCATTCTTGCTACATATGCTGACCATCAAAGTGTTTCATGATCAGCAATTCAATGATTTGACTGTTGGCTCCCTCCAGGACTTTGATATTGGTCGCATATTATTCCCATTTGGTGTTCAAAATTGAATGAAGCTTTTGCTGGCAAAAGTTTTTTTAATTTTTGAATGATGCGATGATATGGCAAAGTTGAAATGACAAGAGCATTATAGACCATAATTTTTGTTAAATTCTGATCCTTATTTTTGAAGACATGTTTGATTAGCTTTCCAAATACCCCATGTCCAGCTACAACTCCTTTTCTGAGGTGCATTTGTTTGATAAAAAGACTGCCTAGATATGGAAAATGCTATACTTGTTCAAGTAATGATAATATCAAAATCTGGCAAGATGATAAGTGGGGCTAGCTGTGCAAGGACCTTGGTTTTCTTGATGTTTACTGTAAGGCCAAAGCAATGGTAGGCCATAACAAAGTTGTTCACAGACTCTTGGAGTTCTTCTGAATGACAGCGGGCAGCGTTGTCATCAGAAGTCGTATTGAAGTTCTGAGATGTGTCGCATGTGTGTTAGACTTTTAGATCCAAAGTCTACTAAAGTTAAAAAGTCATCCATCATATCAATATCTGATGTCAATTTGATTGTCTGAAGGAAGTTTTTGAAGCATTGCAGCCAGATGCAAGAATAACATAGGTGCCAAGATCCTTGATTTAGTCCACATGGGATTGGAAATTCTTCTGACAGCATGTTTTGGTGGAATACACATTCTCATGCATTGCTTGAATTAGAGATAATGTGGTCGGGACATCTAAAATGAAGAACTTTCCACATATCAGCTCTTGGCCTTTTCTAACGCTATCAAAAGCCTTTTCTAAGTCATAGAAAACAAGGAAAAGGGGGTTTTGTTACTCCTCACTTTTCTTCTTTGAGTTACTTTGCACAGAAAATCCTGCTGATTGTACCACAAAATGAGTGGAATGCACAATGAGATTCTGATAGATCTGGAGTGATTTAGAAGGATTCTAGCAAAGACCTTTCCAGTGATAGTGAGTAATGATATTCCTCTATAGTTCTCACAGGCTTTTTGGTCACCTTTTTTTGAAGATCATTATGATGACTGCATTTTTCAGTCCTTTAGGAACTTGTTGGGATTCCCACATCTTCAGAATGAGGATGAAAATGCGAGTTTGCAAGGGTAAGCCTCTATGTTTGATTAGTTCAAAAGGGATCTTGTCTGAACCTGGGGACTTCCTTGATCTCATTTGCTTCATAACTTGCTTGAATTCTTGAAAAGTAGGCTTCATAATTCATCCATTGTTGAGGAGGATGATTTGGAACATTTCTCCGGAAGTTCTCAGGTGTATTGGTGTTTCTATTTAGGAGGGTAGAAAAATGTTTCTTCCACCATAGGAGCATATCTTGTGGATTAGTCAGGATGTTTGTATTGTCAGCTGCTAGAAGAGGTTCAGTTGATATTTGTACTGGTCCAAATAGTTCTTGCATTGCAGCATAGAAATTTCTGTGATCACATGCATCTGCATAGCTCTGAATTTAATTGCTTTTTGTTGCCACCAAATAATCTGTATTTTTCTTAATTTTGTTTGTCACTCCTGTTTTAGCTTCTGGAAATGCTGCTTTTTTTTTTTTTCTTTTTTCTTTTTTTTTTTTTTTTTTTTTTTTTTTTTTTTTTTTTTTTTGAGTCTAGATCTTCAGTCTTGTTCATGAGTCAGACAGCTTGTGGATTTCAATATTGTTTTTATCAAACCAGTCTTGATTCTTAGTCTTGCTGAAGCTGATGACAGTTTCTGTGACTATACGACAAATAGTTCTTCATTTTTCATCAACAGATTGGTCATTGACTCGATTAAAACTAAGTTCCTGACTTATTTTGGCTTGAAAAGTTGTTGCAGTGTCAGGGTTCTGAAGTTTTGAGATGTCAACATAGGACTGTTGCTTCTTTGTGTTGACCTCCATGTCCATTCTTACATTTACACACATTGGATATTGAGTACTCTTACCCATAAATATAACTATATTTTATATATATATATAACTGCATTAAATAAATTTATTTAATGTGATTATTATTGTTGTTCTGCTTTCAAACATTGAGCACTGTGTGTGTGCATTATCAGCCCAACCAAGAAGCACTCCCCCCGCCAATGGTCATTTTGGCTAGCTTTTGGAAAGTGGTCCATGCTAAAAACTTTTCGAGATAGAGAGAAGATATATTGATAGCTATTGTTGCACAAAGTCACAAGTCATTGTGGCCAAGGGCTTGAGCGTGCTGGCCTTATTCAAATTGTTGATCACGCTAGAAAACACAGTCTTTCTCAGAAACTTTAACTATGGTCTTCTCAGCATTGTTGCAGTATAAACCACAGGTGGGCTCTGTGGGTGTTGAATAAACACACATGCACCCGAGCAAGCATCTGCAATAAGAATTGGCTAGCTGCCCTAGTAGACTGGTATCCTCAAATACAAGTGGCCAACTATATATATATATATATATATATACACACACACACACACACACACACACACACAAATAAAGACTCAGAAATAATTCTTTTTTACCTTATCCATGAATACACTTCTCCCTGAGTCTTGTCCCTTTCCCAGATATCTTAAAGATTACAACACTGTAATGCTTGAGGGAAAAGATTCTTTTCTCATGATTATTAGAAAGGAGATGGGTGCTGCTAACTTTCCTTACCCTTTTTTCAGATATGAAGGATGAAAAGCCAGCCAGGAACCAACCCACTAATCAATTTGTTAGTAACACCACTATAACCTTTTGTAGGACCATGTCTATTGATTCCCACTCCTGTCGTCATTAATGACATTTTGTGCAGTCTCAACAATTCACACATTTACCAATCATGTAATTCTTTATTTTCATGGATTGTGGCATGAATTAAAGTTATTCTTTGATCTTCTGTTTCTTTGACTAGAATTGAAAATCTTTGATTCCTATACACAATCAATGACCTAACTTTTATTTTATTAAAAATATATGAATAGCTTAGTCTGAGGCTTTAAGCATTCTCTTTGATATGATATTGCAGTGTAGTAATTGTGTTTGTTTATTCATAGTCTGCTTCACATACATCTTCTCATAGTAATTGATGGTTTAATCTCCTTATCTTACACAAATCCCTTAAATAGACAATTTGCCTTTATCCTGATTTACAACCAATTCCTTGTAATTAATCTCAAGTTTTCAAGATTCTTTCTCTGTGTGACAACCAGATGCCTCCCATGTTCCCCAAGACCCAGAATTTGACCCTTCCTATAATTCAATTAGCTGAATAGTATGAAACGGCCTTATGTTTTATATACAAAACTATAAATCATGTCAATATCTGGCAAGATGAGTCTTGAGGAGGATTGGGTGAATTTTAATTTAACTGGATTTACTTGCTCTTGCTAACTTAAATCAGTACATTCAGTCCTTTTTAGGCTAGCTCCTGCCATTCAGTTATGGGTTCTAATAAAGATTTTTTAATTAGTTCTTTCTCATCAATCTCTGCTCAATGTAAACCTTCTTTGTGGTTTTTCTCCTTTGATTTGTTTTAATGCTATATACCTACTAAATGATGTTTCCTTACACAAACGCTGATCTCATCACTACACCTTTGTTTTTCCCCCTTTTAGAAGCAGTCAAGATGGGTGCAGAACATGACGATTTTGTCATTGGATATGTTTGCCAAAATAACCTCACTTTTGACCCCAAGTTTATTCATATGACTCCAGGTGAGTTGAACTCGGATACTGGAATGACATTGTTTATCTCTGTAAACTTTTCTCTCCATTTCATTGTAAATGTTTCCTATTTTCACTTTGTTAATTTCTGAATGCAACAATATCAATGAAATTCATCTGAAACTGTCTACATTAACTCTGTACTGGTCCCCATATGATCCCCCTTCTCCTCTGAAGTAATAGAGCAGACTGAGCCATTTAGCCTTTGCAGGACAACCAGTCCAGGAGAAGTATAATTCTGAATTCAAAATCTGAAGGTTACCTTGCCTAAGATGGACCATCACTATTGGCATTTTGGCATTATTGTTAGGTTATGTCATAAATAATTTCCATTTTTGTTTATCAGATTTATTCTTCAAAAAATGATGTGCAGTTACATTTTATTCAATTATATATTCACTATTATTTGTAATGACTTGCTGCTACTTATCAAGTAGCTTTTCAATACTTTTGAGTAAAATTCTGCAAATTTTGAAGTTTTTTGATAAACACTTGAATCTGTTTTTTATTAAGGAAAAATTTCCCTATTAAAGTGCATTGGAGCAAAAGGTAGGTTGATGCAAAGTCAGGTGAATATGGCAAGTGGGGATAGAACAAACTAACCAAGTTCCAAGATTTTTTCCTATGTTATTCATGCTGTATGTGGCCTTGCATTGTCATGGAAAAGACCAATAGTTTTCCTTTAATCCACTGTGTATGCTGCCACTGCCATACTAAAGTATGTCAGTAGAGTTTAAATTTGTTCATGACTGCCATGTATGATGAGTAATTAGGATGATACATTTGTTATTACAATTGGATCCCAATTAAGACTATATGTGCTGTTTGCATTAGAAAAGCAGTTCATTTGTTTGTTTAAAAAATTTTGGATTTAAAAAGATTGAATTTCCAAGATACTTACTATAACTGTTGATTAACTTAGGCCAGTTTTTTTTTTTTTTTTTTTTGCCTTTATTACAATGCTTTGGTTACTTTGCCTATTAGTTGAATTTCTGAAACAAGGTGATGACATTGATTCTTTAGAACTATGTCCCTCATCTTTGAAATCATTTTCCCACCAATATAGACTGCATTACTTCTCTGCATTCTAAGTTTGAATTTCTGGGGTTGTTTATTGTTGCTCTTACACATCGACTAATTCTCACCTTTACTGCAACATTTCAACTGATAAAAATAACAAATATGCAGAAACTGGTTTCAAAGAATCAATGCTGGTGTCCTCCTCAGTCAATTCCATCTTTTCTGCTTTTTGTTAACTGTCTAGGAACATTCTCAAATCATTAGTAAACATGCAGATGATACCAAAGTTTATGGATGCACTTCCAAAAATAAAGATAATTGGAGCCTTGCAGCTGATCTTTCCTCTGACCTAGCTCTTACAGCTCAATGGAGGTGAGGAGGGAAAGTGGCTTGTAATTTTCAAAAGACCAAGCTAGTATCATCTCATCTTTATCATTTAAACCCTGAGTTTTCTCTATTCCTGATAAACAAGTCCACTCTTAAGGAGGCCCCATGCTTTAAACATTAGGTCTCAAGTTCATTCTAGATCAGAAGTGGGACCATATATATATATATATATATATATATATATATATATATATATATATATATATATATATAAGGACCTCCACTTTTTTCGCAAAATTTTCGATACCTAACTTTAAAATAAATTTTTTAAAATGAAAAAACATGCTTGAAGATTTCATTTTAGCTTTAATTGAAAGTTTAATCATTAAATTTATTATTTCCATTAAGGAAACAATTCTGATGTATTTCAGATAGAAACTATATACATTTGAATGTCAAATTTAATTTTTGAATTTTAAATTTTCTGAAATTCCCGCCATTTTCTTAATTTTAAGAAATTTGTAAACAAACACAAATTTATCGATTTTAAAAATATTTAAAAATGTTTCTGACATGTTATTTTAGTAAAATTAGAAAATTTAATGTTAAATTAATCTGATTTAAAAGAAATATTACTTACTTCTAGCATAAAAAAGTAATATACAACCAATTATTAACGATTGGTACTGTTATTTTTATCCAATATTTGATCTACGTGTTGAGTGACAAGTGATGACAGCTACTACGGATGACCATAAAAAATGAAAATTATTAGAAATCTGAGTGAACGCTTTTTTTTAGTTTTACTGAAAGGGACATAAAAAATTATTTGAAAAAAAATTAGCACAACTAAGTTTATTAAACTTTGCAATTTTGAACTCGTAAATTTTGTTTCTACTTAATTACTAATTACCACAAGGAAATAGCCTAATACAGAATTTTGCATGATTTTTAAACTATTATAAATTATTATAATTAAAATTTAAAACAAATGAAAAAATTCTTGTAAAATTTAATTATTCATCAGAAAAAATTTATTTCTTCAAGCAATAATGACCTTAATATTACTTATTTACAAAAGCAATTAAAAGCTTTTCTAATTAAGTAGTATCATAGATTTATTGGATTCATTATTTTTTAATTCAGAGCAGATTTTTAGTTAGCGTAAATTTGAAAAAAAATTTAGGTGATTTACCATCTCTAATGACTCTTACTTTAAATAATAAAAAAATTTTCAGGAAATAAAAAGGTTTTGAACGAAATTTCAGGACAATAAGTAAGTGGGGTGTAACATATTTAAAAAAAAAAAAAAAAAATATTTTTTACCAAAATTTTCTAGAAAGAAATATTTCAAAAATAATTTAATTCATTTGTGAATAAGTCCTGAAAATTTCATTAAAATCGGACAATTACTTGATTTTTACAAGAATTTCCAAATCAATGTGTTTTCAACGGAAAAAAAAAGCGCAAAAAAAACAATGTTATTTTAACAGCACCCATGATGACGTAAAAAAAGAAGACTTTAACCAAAATTTTGAACGTGTTAGAAAATATTAAAAAATTTCAAAAAATAATTAAAAATACTTTGGACTTTCATCTTAATAATAACATAAGCATTTTGACGATAAAACTTTATTTTCGTTAAGTTTGTGGCATTTTTCATTACGCTATGCTATTTTCCCGTGGTGTCGCTATATATATATATATATATATATATATATATATATATATATATATATATATATTCAACACCATCATTTGATAAGACACCAGATGTGTTGTAACAAAATGGCTATTTTTGTAGTGATTTTATAACATATTTATATTTATGATTTTCGAATAAATATATAATTATATATAAATAAATAATTATATTTGCTCTACTCTGTATTGAGCACTTTTTTAAGAATGGTATTTGTTGGTTATTGGAATTTATTCCATATATACCAATCCTATACTTGGGTATATATATAAAATCCATTGCTACAGATGCTCATTCTATTGTTCCAGAAAGTACCTGACTCCTCCTGCTATTCTTTATCTTTAAAAGTCAGACTAACCCAAAAATGGTGTGTTCTTGCCATATCTAGGCTGGAGCTGCTCAGTCCTCACTTTCCAACCTTGATAGAATTTCTAGTCATTTACACAGCATTTCCCTATTGTGTAAATTCTTATTCGCCACTCTGCAGTCTCTTCCATGACAAGTTTCATTCAAACCATTTCCACAGAGTTAAATCCCACTCTGTATTCCAAATGAAAAGAGAAATTTTCACTCAGCTTTTTTCCAAGAACTTGTACAGGATGGCCCCTGAAAGAATGATATAAAACAACAATAACTTTTACTAAAATGTGTTTTTTTAAAAAAGATATTATTGTTTTATTTGGAAATATAATTAATAGATTTTTTCAGTGTTATATGTGAAAAACAACATCACTCAAATGACCACCATTTTCCTGCTCACAAATAAAGGCTCTTTCCACATGACTGTATGCAAAGTTTCAGGTTCTAAATGTCGGATTTTGGCTCAAATGACTTGTTCATGGCCTATTTACATGAACCCATTTTTTTTTTTCAAGTAGCCCTCAAAAGAAGTCTGGTGCTGTCAAATCAGGTGAATGCAGAGGCCAAACAAATTTAGCATTTTCTTAAATTATTTGTTCACCTAAAATTTCTTGCAGGTGGTCTATAGTTACATTGGCAGTGTGTGCAGTAGCTCCATCCTGTTGGAACCATACCTCCTGATTATTTTCAACTGCTGAGCATAAAACATTTTCAAGTATTGTCAAGTATTCTTTCTGGCTGACTATTTTCATTTTCAAAGAAATAGGGGCCAATAAAGTCTTTCAAACATAACTCCACACCAAACAGCACATTGTGGAGGATGCCATCAATGCTGATGTAATTCCTTGGTATTTTCAGTATCCCAAAATGTACAGTTTTGTTTGTTGATGTACCTGAAAATGGGCCTCATCACTCATTATCAAGTTGTTCACAAAGTAGTTGTTATCTCTGGCTAGTTATTGAAATTGAATGGAGTACTGCTTGCACTGTTGAGTATCTTAGGGTAATAAAGTTTGGACCATTTGCATCTTGTATGGGAACATTTTTAAATCCAGTTTCAATATCTACTGAAGTGATGTTTTGGTGATGCTTAGTTGAGCAGAGCGATGACAGGTAAAAGCTGATGGATACTCAAGGACACTGCTGTACAGCTTCCACCACTGCATCAGTATACACAGTGTGCTTAGGACCTCTTCCTGGAAGATCACCGACTGATCCAGTGCTTTCAAACTGGGTGATTATGTTCTGAATTATGTTATCACAAGGAGATATTCTAACATTAAAATGTTGCCCGTATTTTCTCCGAGTCTGAATAATTGATCTTTCAATGGAATAGAAAAAATTAGTTTTAGCCATTGCTGGACATCATACGTCGCCATTTTAATCTCCAAGGGATGCTCTATAACCTGCAAAAAAGGAAAATAAAAAAAGATTAAAAACAAACAAGTTATGACTTCTTTTCAAACCCTTTACTTTTTCAGACACCCAAGTAGATGCTTCCTTGACTACTACAATATTAACATCTTCAATTTAAGGGTCAATCATTATCTATCCTCCCTATCCTCACAATGTTCATTTCTCAAAAATCAAACTAAAAAGTGACTGAAGTAGGATGGAATATGTTGAAATCAACAAAAAGAAGGAAATGTACTTCATCTTTGTTTTGCTACTTGAAAAAAAAAAAAAAATTGAATAAACATTTTCTTTTAACATTTTCTTTCAGGTGTGCAACTCGTTCCTGGAAAAGACAATCTGGGTCAACAATATCTGACCCCCAGAGTGGCTATTTGTGAACATGGTAGTGATGCCATCATTGTTGGGAGAGGAATTTTAAAAAATCCAGATCCTGTTGAGCAGGCTAAACTTTTGAGAGATGCCGCATACAGTGCCTATGAAGAAAGAATGTGAACAATGAAATATGAGCAAAAAAATTTTAAGTTTTTGTCTTCCTTTTAATGATGAGACATTCTTATTCTTGTCTATTGATGCTAGTTACTAATGAGCTAAAAAGTTGTGGTGGAAAATAGATTTGAATTTTTTTTTTTTCTACTAATTACTCTTCATCTAGAGAAATAATGCTTTGAAAAAGAAATTCTTGACTGGAATAGTCTTTGACAGACTGCAACATTCCCATAATGATCACAAAAGGATGCTCTCATTTTTTTTTTTTTTCTTACTGTTGATTTGGACAAACTTAAAATGGGTGATAGTAAAATATGGACTTTTTTTTTTTTTTTTTTAAAAAAAATAAATCCGTAATTTTCCTCAACCATGAGACTTTGTTTTTCAGTTTTTACTTCAATAAAATAACGTATCAAGCAAATAGTGATTCTATATTTGTTCAAGTTTGAAGCTGTATTCATTTGTTTTCCTCAGTGGGGTAAGGGTTTTAACAAGCTAGGCTATGTAGCAAGATTAATCCTCACTGGATGCCCCACACATGTGGCCTTGTGCCAAAAGTAAATTAAGAATAGCAAATCACCATGGGCATTTTATCATGATTTAATGGTCATCAAGCTGCACTTTTAGATCATGAATACTGTGTCTGATCCTCACTGGGTGTCCTCGTACTTGTGACCTTGTGCCAAAAAATCCAAATTAAGCTAAGCTCAGTAAATAACAACTTTCAAACTTTAGAAACATTTGACCAAAGAAAAATCTTTATGTAAGCCAGCAAATTTGGTAAGTTTGAGTAGTTTTTATTCTATCAGTTTCATTTTGAATTGAAGATTTCACTGATGAAAGGGATCTTTTGACAAATCAGATTCCAAATAAAAATAGGAGCCATTGTTTCTATACAATTGTCATTTCTTCCAAATTTAAAATTTGGTTCTAAAATTTTTTTTTTTTCTTTGGGTTTTTTTTTTTCCATTGAACACTATGTTTACAATTTTAATCCACTGTCTTGTAACATCTTTTGGTCAATTTCATAATCCCCTCCTCTCAGTCTTTCTCAGCAAAGAATTGCCCTATGTCTATTTTGCACTCTTCTAAAGAATTTTCTTTCCTGTATGAGAATTCTGTAAAGCCAGAAATGAAAGGTAATCTGAAGGTGCAAAATATGGTGAACCAAAGAAACATGCAGTCTTGCATTCTTGTAATGGAATATTGCTTCATTTCTCTTTCATTCTGGATACTTTTCATGTGCTAACTTGGAAGTAGTTCTGGTTTGAGTTAGATTTTTACCTTTAAAATAAAATCCTGTTTTGCCAAACCTGTTGGGTTTTTTCTTCAATCTACAGTTTTTTTGTTTTTTTTTAGTAATGCATGCTGATATAATAACTGTCAGACTTCAATGAAAACTGATTTTAAAACTTAATACTTCTATGCCACCCAATGACAAAAACAACAATCTTCAATAAATATCCACTAAAAAGACCCATGAAAATTTCATGGTTTTCCATTTGAATTTTCTGATGATGTTGCACTCAAGCCCCTCCCTGGTCATCCAAGATATCCAACACCCACAGCTGATCAAATAGGTGATTGGTTCGATCAAGGCCATTCCCTATCCCATTTGCTTTGATCATAAGACAAGGCCGAGATCAAATCACCATCAGGTATACTCATAATGGGCTGGTCCGAGCGGGGTGAAAACACAAAGAAGAAAAAAAATATAACACTGAAAATTTTCATACGACAGTTGGTTAATTGTTGTTAAAGTTTTGGTAGTTTGAACGATCTCTTCTTTCTAACTTCAAGGCATTCGTATTTATTAATTTTGCCCAAAACGGTCTTTTGGGAGTTGGAACAATCTCTGGTTTCTCACTTCGAGGCATTTGTATTTATTAACTTTTGACCAAACTGGCATTGGGGGTGCAATGTGGCAGTATTTTCTCTACCTGTCATCTTCATTATCTGCGTCTGAGAATTAATTACTTCTTAATTTGAGGAATTCCTCTCTTCCACAGGTGATGGTCTCGGGCATTAATCCACCCCATAACTTCCACCTTCTCTTATTACCATCTCCCACTAATACTACTCAGTTGTCATGGGTAGCTCCTCCACCTTCCTTGGTGTCTCATCTGTATCCGCCACCTTCCAACCAATGGTTGTCAACAACCTCAGGATGAAGATGCAAGATTAATTCCAAGCTTGTTATCTACACAGAAAATTTTTCCCATGTCAACCATATGTTTTTTATTGTCCAAAATTGAAACACAACCAAGACGGCTTTCCAGACCTTTGGGGTTCCATCTTATCTTCAAATTATGATTTTAAATCCTATCTGATTCTCTCCCCATGTCTTAAGCTGTATGTCATCAACCAAATGTCAAAATATTTGCCATATGACCTGTCGTAGTTGAATGTTGTTTTCTCTGCTAGCCGTTTGATTCTCAGCCTTTTTGAGAAATAAAATCTTATGTAGTTCATTTTATTCATTAACCCTTTTTATTATTTATCAGAAGTCTATCAGTATATTCATTGTTCTATTCATTCAACTTCCTTATTATTATTTACCAGTAACAAAGTGTGTCACATCGAATCTTAATTCTTAATAATTAAATAAGCTCATGGCAAGTTTTATGACAGTAAAGTATCTGCAGAAATTCCCCTATCATGTTAAATATTTGAGCTTAACAATTTTAACAAAATATTGCAATAACAATCATAAATATGAATGCTGTTTTAAGAAGAGAGTACAAATGAAGAGATTTGAAATTGACAACTTGTTTTCATTTCACTGAAAGAGCCATTAAACACTTCTATCTTCCCTTCATTTTTTTTTTCATTCATTTTCTCACTGTAGTGTCTCTGATATGTCTTGTTTTTCCATAGAATCAAAACAGAATCATTATTTATTAGGTATTGGTAGGATACATTAAAAACTTCTTTTTTTTTTTTTTCATTTTCTAACTGGAACCAAATAGTGTTTTTTACTCTCTTTCCATGCAATCAAAACAAAATGGTCCATTATTGGCAGGGTTTAATGGTCATGTGAACTAAGAAACTAAAAAAAGGAGAGACAAACTTCTGGACTTACTGTAATTTTAAGCACATGCCTGCAAACTTCTATTTGTTGCATATCCAATTGATCAACCAAAATTCTTGGAAGAATTTGTTAAGCAAGACATTGAATGAAATAAGCTGCAAATTACTGAGTATGGAAGGACTCATGGCAAGGTGATGACTCCTGGGGATGAAAAAATAGGATTTAGATGACAACCTGCTAGAAAAATTCAATGAAGACTCTATGATCACTCAAATGCAGGAAAAAATCAGAAGAAACCTGGATCAACATCATGGCATTCCATGCTTCAGGCCTACACATGATACAACTAAGGACCAGAATGGACAGCCTATTTCAAAAGCTCTGTTCATCTGGGAACAACAGATTTTAGTTTTAAGTTGGGTTTTCAGTAGTTTGCTACCGGAATTGACTTAAGAAATTTTTAGAATAGCTTTAGCTTATTTAATTGAAGAAAGTATAAAAATATATTTTATTTCCTTCAAACTTCCTATATTATTTTATATTTATTGCAAAAACAAACTTTTTTGTCACTAAAAAAGATGTAATTTTGGAATCTTGGCAGTTTAACATTTTTCACATAAAGTTAATATATTCTTCTCCATAAAGTACTTATTTATTCATAAAAGTAAATACACTCATGATGATAATTTTTTTTATTCATGATCTGTATTTCTGTATGTAACAGGCAAAAAAGTATGCTGAAGTTTTTATCACCGTTCTTATATTGTAATGTAACATTTTAACACCACAAAATATTAAAGGTAAAAACATTGGTGATCTAGACAAGGAATTAAGCTCTAACTGAAATATGCATAATTTAAACTTGATTTAAAGAAATAATTTATAAATCTAATTTTTTTCTTGTCTTTCTCAAATGTTACAAAGAATCAAAGTTAATTTTAATATTTTTTATGCTTAATTTTTAGCAGAAACTTTTCTGAAAATTTTTTTGTCAATTCTCTTTTACACTGCAAAATTTATTTAAAAATGCCATTATTTGTCACAAAGTCGATTTAATATTTATCTCTGATATTGTTATTCATAAAAATATTTTGATAAAATTTAGTTTTTTGAGTAATTTGTTTTTCTTTCTAAAAGATTTTTTTTTTTTTAAATTTTGAATTTTTAGTTTATCATTTAAAAAAAAAACATAAGATAGAAGCAAATGTAACATTTTTATACTGAAAAATGAATGAAAAAGTAATTTATCATGATTTTTTAACATATTTAAGTTATTTCTGAAATTCAAACATTTTAAAATCGTCCACCATTTCTGTTCCTTAGTTGCACCAAGAATATGCCTGCAATGTTGAATACCATGATGAGTAAGCAGAAGCTTGTTATTGGAGGTGAAAAGTCTACCAATCTTGACATTGTTTTCATCTAAAGATGTACTTTTTTTGACTTTCTGTAGAAATGCTGAAGTTGCATTTTGGACCTAAACATGAGATGTGCATCATTCGCTTCCACAAGAAGAATAGTTGAAGTTTTAAAAAATTTTTATAAACTGTTTTCTTTTAATGATGCTATACTCTTTGAGTGTGTCTGTATATCTGTCATTCTTTAGTATAACCGTGTGTTTCCTTGGTTTTCATGATCTGTATTGTCTTGATGAGGTAAGCAGGTCTTTACAAAACCGTGTTATCAGGATGTTTTCTGGAATCAACTCAATAAAGGTAAGAAATCTAAAAATATTCTTAATACTTTTGCTGCAACATAATACATGTATCTTGTGACACGTTGCATATTGTCTCCATATATCTTCATCCATACCCCATCTTTTGAAGCACTATAAACAGCTTGTGCTATGTGCTAGA